TGGTGGGAAGGGTTGGGTGCTGTGTGGTGTCTGTAGGCTCTGTCCGTGATTCCATTCCAAAACCCCTGGGTGACATCCTCCTGCTTTCCCTGCCACAGGAAGAGCTGCTCCGGAGAAGCTTTCAGGACTTGGCCACCGAGGTTGCCCCGCTTTACAAGAGGCTGGCGCCACAAGCCTACCAAAACCAGGTACTGCCACCCCCTTGTCCCCCTGGCAACACCAATGGGTGCCAAGTGGTGGTGTTTGGGAGATTCTGGATAACCAGAGCCCTCTCCTCCTTCCACCAGGTCACCAACGAGGACGTAGCGATCGACTGCCGGCTGGGCCTGAAGGAGGGGAGGCCGTTCTCAGGGGTGACGGCGTGTATGGACTTCTGTGCCCACGCTCACAAGGACCAGCACAACCTCTACAACGGCTGCACGGTGGTAAGCAGGCATGGGGGGGGGTTGGGGTGCTCCCACCCCAGTTTGGGATGCTCCTTTCTGAGCCACTGGGTCCCCAGTTGTCCTACCCCAGGGCAGTGGTCACAGCACCAAGCCTGAAGGAGTTCAAGGAGTGTTTGGACAACAGTCTCAGGCACGTGGTGGGATTTTGGGGGTGTCCTGTGCAGGGCTGAGTTGGACTTGATTATCCTTGTGGGTCCCTTCCAGCTCAGCATATTCTGTCCTCCCTGCCTGGCTCCAGGTCCTTGGTGTGACACCTCAAATGACACCTCAGGTCTGTGAGTGCTGAAACCACCCCAGCCAGACTCAGGTGCTAACAGGGACCAGCATTTGCTTTTGTCCAACCCACGGGAGATTTCCATATGGCAACTGGGGACCAGAGCGGAGGGAATGCCAGGCTGGTGTGGATTCATGTTGATGGGGGAATAAGGAGGAGGTTTGGCCCATCCAGCACAGACCACATCCCTCAGCACCCCGCTGACAGCACCCACCCCCTCAGGTCTGCACACTGACCAAGGAAGACAATCGCGTGGTGGGCAAAATCCCCGAGGATGAGCAGCTGCACGTCCTGCCCCTCTACAAGATGTCCAGCACGGATGAGTTTGGCAGTGAGGAGAACCAAAACGCCAAGGTGGGCAGCGGGGCCATCCAGGTGCTCACGTCCTTCCCGCGCGAGGTCCGCAGGCTGCCTGAACCTGCCAAGTCCTGCCGGCAGAGGCAGCTGGAGGCCAGGA